TGTGTGTGTGTGTGTGTGTGTGTGTGTGTGTGTGTGTGTGTGTGTGTATGTATATATATATATATTGACTAGAATACGACTCACCACTATACCACACGTAGAGAAAGTAACTTAAATACCGTGGATACGAAATTTTACTTTTATAAACTATTATAAAAGTAAGTAAGTATTATATATTTTAAAAACCCGCCATATGTGAAAAAAAAAACACCTGTAGTTTTACTATACTGATCAAAAGCCTCAATCATAACAATTGTTTTCTTCTAAAAAATATAGCATCTTAAATAAAAGGAAGACTATGAAATTTAACATTTAATTTGAAAATTGTTCAGGAAAATGATCCTGTAAAGATTTAGGTTACTGGAACCGATATAAGAATGTGGCATAGCCGTGAGACGCACTGTACATTAACTATTGGATATTCAGTTTATGTAAATTAAACAATACGAATACGGCATGAAAATAAAATGATTCTGCGGACGGACAGCCGTTTATTACAATGCGACTGTGAAAGTACGCAACTAGTGATTTATGGCAAAAAATTCGACGTTATTTTCTCTGTAAATTCAGTAGCTTCAGCTTCAATTTCAGCATTTCTAGTTCATATGCGTATCGTGTGTCTTAATAATATAAGTTGTAATTTATAGATTATTAGGTATAAATATTATTTTACAGAAATGAATAAATTACATAAACTTTATGCATACAATCATTATATTGACATAATTATTATTATTTAATATGTTCCTACATTATTTCACATAACTATATTAACTATGTTAAAATTACGTAGTACAAAACTTGTACTGGGTATTTGTAATTTTTTGAAATGTAACATTTATTACTATTTGTAACGATTCTTGTAATACAATATATTGAATATAATAATGTAAAGTTTACAAGATAATAAATAAATCTAATTAGTAAGTCTAATTTAGAAAAAGAATAGGATGCGAAAACGTCCACTGTATAGTTGTATTTCCCAGAATATAACCGTCCAGGGAGCTGTAGAGTCTCTGAATGTCGTACGCTCTTTGCGGCATTATAGGATTAGGCTTTTACAGCTACTACATACAAAAAAATTGGAAGACTTAATTAAAAAATATAGCAGTGGATGTACATCATACACCTCTAGATAAGTGTTATTCAGTCAGTCTTCATACAACTTATCGTTGTTCACTTCATACAACTTATCTTGGCAATATTCACAAAAAAAAAACAAAATTACTCGTTTATGGTAACTCAATCGTTCATATTTAAAAAAATAATTTTATATTTTTAGTTGAGTTTTATTCAAATTCCTTCAAAGTCCTTCACCTCGAGCATTCACTTGTAATGTAACAGTTCAAATTCATGCATTACAGCAGTGAGGGAGGAGAACCGAGAATTCGTTGCGCAACCCGAGATTGGAATCCATGGGGTGACCCTGGATAAATTACCTGTACCAATTACCCAACATTAACCACGATTTATATTAATGATGCCTATTCCCCTGAATAATTGTGTTTTTTACTGACGTCGATGACGCAGTACAATTTTACTTATATACAATCTATATACAAAATCTATGTATACAATACTGAGCGGACTAAAACAAAAGCAAAAAAAAATTCTAAATCCAATAATGTCTTAACTTTCCTCGGACATATGTAGAGAAGATGTAGGTTTTCTATTTCATCTAATCACGGCCGTACTAAAGCACACTTGCGTTCAAACCAACCCACCGACTGTAGCAGAAAACAAAACTATTTATTGACACTCCATGTGGAAACCCTTTGTGCTCAGTACACTAATTTATACTTATATTTTCTGATATACTTACTACCTAATATTGTGCTAGTCTCTACTGATGTATTGTCATTCAAATTTGGAGTCTATCCAAGAACTAAACATTACACTAATTGTAGAGTTTACAGTAAGCGATCACAAATTTTGCTTGTTACTTACCACAATGTCGCACTACACCCTACCAAAACATCAAGCTATAAGTACATATTTATACCTTTAGCAAATTCTAAGTTAAACAAAAATTAGCAAACTATGAAGAAACTAAGCTGCTGCAAAACTTGAGTTTGATATTACTTAACCATATAAATAATTTGACGGCCTCAGTGGTCGAGTGGCTTGCATACCAGTTTTCACGGTGTCGCCATTTCAGAGGTTCTGGATTCGATCCCCGGCCGGGTCAGTGTAGAAAACTAACTTTTCTATATTGGTTCGGGTCTGGATGTTTGTGGTACCATCGTTGTTTCATATTTCCATAACACAAGTGCTTTAGGTACCTACTTACTTTGCGATCAAAGCAACGTATGTGAGTCTGATATGTAGGTATAACAACTAATTCAAATGTCCACTCACAATTTAAGCTTGCCTCTGTGGCCGAGCGGTTACCATGCTCTGCCATGACTGCCACGCAGACGTCTCAAGTTCGATTCCCGGGCCGGGAGAAATAATTGTATAGCCTACATTTATTTCTCTCGTGAGTTTGGGTGTAATCTATGTATGTGCCCATGGCACCCGCAACACAGGGTTTCCCTAGTGCGGGGCTCAGATGAGTGTGTGCATAAAAAAAAATTGCATGCCATATTTTTGAGACCCTTCAACTCATAAAACACAGGGCTTTTACCTAGTTTAGGGGACGGTATCCATTTTTATAACTATAAATATGTTGTATTATATAAAACCGTTGTAGTTTTGTAACTGGTGGTGTAACCTAGTTTTGTTTACGAGTGAAACAAAGAATCTTATAATAATTTACATTAGTCATGAAGGTCAATATATAACTGGTAATAATTCTGAATAACGTTTTGTGCCAAGACTGAGCAAAGACTGGGCCCTCTCTCACGTACATACATTTGTATGTATTTCTGCTCGTGCAGATCTTATTTATTTTACCGCTTCCCCGGTTCTCATCGAACTCTGTTCGCCTTTTCCTTGAATCGCACTTTTTTCGCGTCGTATTTGCATAAAAATAAACAAAATAGTTGACTCTGTTATTTATTATAATTTCCAGGCAAGGACATAACCCACAAGTTGTACTCGGTGAGTGAGGGTCTGATGGGCGCAGGTGGCACCAACGATCGCGAGGCGACCGGGAGCAACCTCACACGCTCCGCCAGCGTCGACGCCGTGCACGAGGGCTCCCGCGGTCGCCTACGCAGCGACGACTGGAGGTCTCGCTCTACTAATTCTAAAGGCAAAGGCAAAGGTAGGTGTGGACTACAAACAACTGTAAAATTGAGTTAACATTTACTTGTACGAGGTCATGAGCATGTCAAGCTGGACACTAGATCTAAATTTAACTCTATGCCCCTTGTGATAAGAACGGTCGAAAGTCGAATGCGTCAAGCTTGATATTCTCTTGACTGTATTCAATAGTGATGGTTTTAATGTATTACTTACACAGTGTCTTTTGTTTATTAAACTTTATTGACCACAACACCTATGGTACAAGAGGCGGAATTAATGCTAAAAGCATTTTTTACCAGTCAACCTTTGAGGAAAACGAAATTCACGAATTTATCTCGATACGATTTATCTCGTGAGCTTGGGTGTAATTTGTGGTTGTCTATGTGTATGTCCATGGCACCCGCAATACAGGGTTTCCCTGGTGCGGTGCTATGAGTGTGTGCGTTATTATTATGACAAAGATTTTTTTTGAACTCGACTCAAGGTCGGATATTCGGAACCAATTACGGGCCAAGTATCCTGTTTTGGTTGAGATGAGAGTAAGTGATGGTTTTGTGTGGAGTTTGTTGTACCAGGGGTATTTCGGAGTGAGGTCATGTTAAAGAAGCGGCGGGCTAGCGAGCAAGTGTCTAATACAATACAATTGACTTTTGGAGATGTATGTAGGTTTTAGGGTGCAGATCTATTATTTTTAAGGTGGTAGGAAGAGTTTTCGGTATGCTACCAATTATTATTATTATTATTATCTTTATTTTTCTCAGCTTCTAAGCTGGTTTGACCACTTACGGATCGAAATCAATTAAATGCATTATTATTATTTGTTTTCTCAGGGAGTTCTTACTGGCAACCAATAGTAGCACGTCAATTCCTTCGTCACTCTCCGTTTAGCCGGAGTATGACGCAACCTCCGCGGCTGCTACAGCAAGCCTCCTCTGCGAGCCTACAGCCGCCGCCGCGGCGCCGCAGCCCGCCGCGCCGTACAACGTCGTTCCGGCGCGAAGTCAAATTCGCGGAGGTAACTACGTCCTCCGAGCCGGCGGTGTGACGCGGGCCGCGGCCCCAGCCTGAGCTGGTGCCGCTCGTAGCGCCGCGCCCACTCTCTTCCTCGTCTCCCCGACAGCAATCTCCTTGACCAGACCATGAGCGAACGTTTATGCCTCACACAACGGACTTCTAAAGTGGAATACTTAATCGCCACGACTACAATAAATCGCACCAATCATGGAAGAATCGCGTAAATGAAGTTATGTCAAAAACGTTTATTGCTCCATTGGATACAGAAAAATATAACCCACATTCTCTCCAATTTTTGTAACTGTATTGACTAATATTGTAGATAGAGTTACAAGAATTGGAGAGGATGTGGGTTATATTTTTCTGTATCTAATGGAACAGTAACTTAATTTACTGCCTCCATGGCCGAACGACAGCCACGCAGAGGTCCCAGGTTCGATTCCCGGGCCGGGAGAAACATTTGTATGGTCTACATTTATTTCTCTCGTAAGTTGGGTAAATTTGTGGTTGTCTATGTGTGCGTCTATGGCACCCGCGACACAGGGTTTCCCTAGTGCGGGGCTATGTTGAGTGTATGCGTTATTACTTAAAAAGAATTAATTCTTATATTTGACCCTTTCGACGAGCATCATAAATCGTAAATAAACATGTTTGACGTAACCCCACTTATGACATTCTTCCATGAGGGGTGCGAAATAGTAATTCAACGTATCTTTTTCATTTAAAAGTTTAGAAAAAGAGCTTCCTGTTGTTATTCATATATAGATATGTTAAATAATTTTCGTTCAAGCTTTCTCCTTCGCTCTAATAGGCTAACCGTGTGTGAATTAACGTTCAATACCTACAAGTAGGCAAGTGAAAACAAAAATTAGCGTGCTTAAAAATAAACGTAACGTGTTATATTGACACAAGTGAAGATGTTTGAACTAATACAATTGTAAAATATGTGCGAGCAAGTAGTGAAATAGTGTAATTGTAATTATGGATCCCGTTATGTTGCATAAGATACGCTCAAGCACCCAGAACAACAATTAAGTACACACTAAAATAAGTGCAACCTTGATGCGTAAATTTAAGTAACGAACTAAGCTAAATAAGTTTATTCAACCAAACCAAAATGTTATTACACTAATAGACTTACTTAAAAGTTAAGTAAATATAATTTTTTAGCGATTGATGATTCAAAATGTGGAATTCTAAAAGTATTTTTAATGTTAAAATAATGGTTTATAGTTTTAAGATGTGTTAAATTCGTGATATGTAAAAATATTGAAGTTAGTACGACGATGGATATACTAAATTATTTTTCAAACATGAATGTACTGTGGAATTCTAATTCACATAAATATCCCCGGCAAATGAAAGTAATGTCTTATACCTCTTAAGAAAAAGTTGCAAAAATAAAATGCGTCACTTGTAATAGAACGCATTATTATTATTTTTATATCAAGCAGCGGGACCACCGCAGAAATCGTGCGCCTCTTGGTAAACAACACGCCTTCCCATAACAATTAGTGTCACTTAAAGCTTTAAATCACAAAAACCTGAGGACCAGTGCGCCCGTCACTCTGAGACAAAGTTAACAAGTCCCAACTGCCTGTAATTTCACCAGCACCCCTTCAAAATGGAAACGCAGTAGCTCTTATATTACTGTTTGGCGGCAGAAATAAGTAAGGGGGCAGTACTTCCATGAACGAACTCTTTCACAAGGCAAAAGCTCTACTACTACTAAAAAAATTGTAATTTCCATAACATTTTTTTTTCATATTTTTTACTTTTTAAGATTACTTTTATTCGTTGGGGATGTGCATACACTTCAGTATTCAACTGTATGAAGGTACTGCGTCGTTGTTTGATATAATGAGGATCATACGTAGGTATATTTTAATTTTACAAAATTCTGTTTTTGAATTATTTTTTTAATACATACCCGATGCCTTACGCTTATGTGCTTACTATTAGTTTATTTTTAGTATTAAAAATGCTAATTATAATAAGTTTACCATTCCCAATTTCACGAAAAACATATTGAAAGCGTGTTATAAAATTACAACGAATGTCGGATCTTAAGGAATGAGAGATAGCGTTGTTGGCGATGTTAAACTGTGACACCTTACGAATATGTAAACATTAACTGGTAAATTATTATTAATATTTTAAGGTAGAGTAATCAGGACTGCAACATTGATCAAAATGTATTTAATCAAAGAAAATATAACACATTTTTGTTCTCGATGTTTGCGTAAACATGTAACAGCACAATAATAACTTTAAGATTTTTTTTAATATTTAATGTTCGAAGTTGCACTTTGAAAATATTTCTCACAAATGCAAGTACTCGCTAAGAGCTATGCTTTTAGTAAGTGTATTTACTAATAATCCGGACCCAGTCTTGTATGCGGTCGTTAGCTCTTCCTAATTAGGTGTCATATTTCCCATCAGGATAATGGTAAATTCACGTCGGTGTTTAGTTGATGTTGTCGCTTCATTACTATGTAATATGGTGTTAAACTAGATGAGCAAGTAGTGTTCGTATCTATTGTACCTAACCTTGTCGGGTAGTCGCTTCGACAACAATACGTAACGTAACTTACAGACATCGTACAAGGAAGATGAAATACTGTTACGTAGCTGCTTGTAAATGCCAAGCGTAGAAGTGTTAATTGCTCTGAAGGCAATTTTTTCTTCTCTAATAATTTTGTCCTAGTTGTACGGTGTCTCTTGCGAATACATATCGTTTTTCGTCTCGTCTCGTCTTGTTAGTACTTCTATAATGTTGTAGTGAAAATGTTCTTGATGGGCTACATTGTTTTGCGAGTTTATATATTAATTTTGATTTTCAAATAATGAAATTAAATTTTATCATCACCACGAACAAATCTTTGAAATGCTTTTTAATATATTTCTAAAATGCCGAACCATAACCAAGAGTAAATAATGAACATTAAATCAATTAACGCGTAATTTTAAAATGTAAGCAAGACTAATTATTTACCGACTAATAATTTCATTCAAAATTGTGTTAACGTCAGTTCGGTAACGAACTCTATATGTCGTAGTTACTACAAAAATGTTGGCCTTGCTCTTATGGTGTATTAAAGTAACATTGTAAAAGGCTAGTGAAATTTTGATAAATTAACAACTAGACTTGGATTATAAAATTATTAAGATATAAAACATTAACATTAATTAACAACACTTCATGACTGCGTCTTCATAAACGAGAGCTTTTTTCTATTTTGTATTTGAATCAAAATAATTATTACTAAAAATCGTCTTAACAATGACTACTTGATATGAATTGATAGTAATCCCGCTGGAATTGAACGATTAACAATATTTATTACTATTTAGTCCATAAGAACCAGTGCTACTTATCACAATCACATATTTGTCTTGACATTTTGAACTAGACCGCTTAAAACTGATATACAACTTGTTTTTTGGAAAATTTATTTTACCGAGTCTTCCATCCTTGCCACATAATCTGAATCTCGTTACGCGATTAAAGATTTAAAAAGGGTAATATAAGTAACTACAGAAAAAGAATATTAACTACGTTATTGCTTTGCACTTGATAGAATTTTGTCAATATGCGACTACAAAACAAAACAAAATTTTAACAACTCAGTGTAATGACATCGTATCATAGATTTAAATGTTGCTAGATATGTATTACTCTTCAGCGAATCGTACAAAAACGGGAGCAATCTCTTGAATTATTTACAGCTTGATGTTAGTAAATCGTTATGGGTTTTTTTGATATAGCGGTGTGTCTGTTCTATGCTGTTAAAAATATGTAACATTGTTTAATAGTAAACTGTCAAACGTACATATACCTATAAATTTTCTTTCGGATCATCTAATAAAAAATGTTTTTGAAAACCTATATAATATACAATATGTCTACGTAAAAATGTGTAGTGTCTAAGAGCAGGCAGTTCCAACGTAATGTAAATAAATATCCGTACACAAAAAGTGTGAAAGACACGAGTTACACAATGCACAGACATTATTTTTTAAATTTGTTTCATTTCATGTGGATTATTTTATTGTAGCGCTGCGATACACCGTACCTTTTGCTTTTGTATTAACTATTTACATAGTTCACTTTGCTGTTGTCGTGTAACTAAAACAAAACACTTGACAGAGCGCCTCTGTGATACATGTTAGCTATGTAGAATAGGAGTCGTCGTCGGTTGGAATATCGTACATATTCCCGCAATCTCTTAGTCTGGTTATAAGTTGCCTCAGAGTTTCGTCAAACATAACATCACCGTTATCGATATATATTATTGTATTTATTCACTTTATTAACATGTTTATTATGTCTTTAATAAAATAATTGCTTATTATTGACTTTCATTCTTCAAGTCCTTGATTGAAATATAAATTTTAATGTTATGTAATCTTGATTCTTATTCGCTGGGGTGCGCAACATACATCATTGTTGATAAAAGAAGGAAATAATTGGTATCACTATGACGTAGTGAGATAACGACATGACCTCGGGGTAGCGGTGTTGTTATGGCCCAAGAAAGAGTAGTAAAATGAATAATTGTGAAGTTAAATGTTAATTCAACCAAATGATAACACGACGTTCGCAGTCAGCTCGCGGTCGTGAGGCGACACGCTCATTTACAATGTCGTCGAGCTACTCCAACTAATTACATTTATAAATTGTTATATACCTTACAGTGTGTGTTAAAAATGGCATTTCTTATGAGAAGATGTGTTTTAAACGTGTGGAATATTAAGAAATGCCGTAAGTTAAGTCTGCTAACGCAAATAGTAAGTAATTAATGAATATTTCCCTCCTTACGTGTATCACGTGCAGATTGCAAGCAGTGACCGGACCGGTTTCGGCTGCAAACAAATATTATCGCACATAATCGAACATATACTAGATGCCAATCGAATTGTCCAGCACTATAGTGTATATGGAAAGTAATAATATGAAACGCTTGAAAGTGACATTAAAGTAGTTTATTAATCCTAATTAAAATGCAAATTCATTTCTAACTTTACGCATCAGCTCATTTGCATCTAAATGTCGTTCAACATTTTTGTATTTACTTAAATTAATGTAATAAAAATACCTACTTAAACTCTAAAACAAAATCAGGTGTGTAAAATAAAAATCAGCAGTTACAAGTGAGTTCATGGCAATAAGATAAAAAATAAGATAACGATGCGTGACAAAAACTTATCACAGCAAATAAGTAGATTTTGAGCTATCTACATGTAATTAGTCAATGATTTATTTAATCGCTATCATACCATATTTAATCAGTTACCTAGTTTTATAAATAGGCACAGAAGCACAACTTTTTCAGGATAGACTAAAGAAAGACAAACCCTCAAGACTAGAAAAACATTTCCATCCAAGCGGATTCCATACAAGTCGGATCGCCAACAAAACAGTCGCTTTCAAATTATCCGATATTGGTGAAGGCATACGAGAAGTTGTCATCAAAGAATGGTAGGTCAGAACTGGCACGATTCTGTAGGTGGCCCAAAAAGTGACGTCCAAAGTTCCAAACATATATAATACTATATTTACTTGAAAGTTTAAGTTTGCCAAAGCCAGCCGAGTAACTTAATTGTTGTTTTGAACTTGAACTTTTGTTCACGTGTTTATTTTTAATTTATATTTTGAAAATTTATGGGATGCTTCGCTGTGAGGGTCTTCTATGACAAAAGAGTCCATCCAGGGAAATAGTGCCACCTTACCTATTCCTGCCGCCAAACAGTAATGTGAACATTACTACGTTCCGGTTTTTAGGGTAAGGGTTCTGGTGAAATTACAGGCACATGAGACTTATCAACATGTCTCAGGATGACGGGCGCAGTGACAGTGCCCCTCAGATCTTTGTGATTTAAAACTCTGAGTGGCTCTGCAACTGTTATGGACAGGTCGCTTCCCATCTATCACCTAAAAAAAAACAAAATTACAAATCTGTGTGTCGAACACATTTTGTAATACCTCGAAATGATTCGTACATCGAGTATAATTCGTATAATATTAAACGCGGTCAGTACGTCACCATTTGCGCACACTGAGTGTGTATACGACCAGTCAATGAGTTTTCCCTTGGACGTCCCTTTTTGCCACCCTAATTTAATACAAAATTCTTTTTGAAATTTGAGATTAAAATCTGATAAACTACATTAGGAAGCTGACCAATTTATTGAACTTTGTGGTACTAACTTCTTGTACTGACAACAACATGGATGTTTAAAGTATTGACATTTAAATCATGAATGACTAACAATACCATTTTATGGTCAAAAATATAATTGCCAGTTTCCGAAAAACAGCTAACTCTAAACACAATGCTAAGTAGTAGCATTGGGTTCATAGCGGATGCTTTGCCGCATATGCCGCAAGATTTCAAAACTATAACAAATATTGTGCAGAACAGATAAGAAAGATTTGTTTTTGAAAATTAATACTAACCTTTAATATAGAACACAGAAAACTACAAGTATGCCGTACGTATCACTGCAATATTCTGTTTATTAATTCCAGGTTTGTAAAAGTCGGTGATAAAGTGCAGCAGTTCGACAACATTTGCGAGGTGCAAAGCGATAAAGCGGCTGTCACGATCACTAGTCGATATGACGGTGTTGTCTCTAAACTGTATCACGAGGTCGACCAGACTGCACTGGTTGGACGACCACTCATTGATATTGAAGTCGACGAAGAAGACACAGGTGAAGTTTTGCATCTCTTTTACTGTAATTTTGTACTCTACCTTTTTAAAGGAACACATAGAAAAGGAAAAGGTAATAGCGAATTGGGCTTTTTTCAAGGATTTCTTTTCGATTACGCAATATTTGTAGATAGTTACCTGTATAAATGGTACAGATAAAGTAAAAACTAATTCATATACTACTCGTATGTACATAGATCACAAAACCATGAAAAGACTCGTTAGTATATCTCACTTTATTTATGTACCAGGTCCAACAGATCCTGAAAAAGTAAAGGCAGAAGTACCAAAGGTAGACAAAGCTGTTAGCCAAAAAATAAAAGTATTAACGACACCATCAGTTAGAAGAATAGCAGCACAGTACAAAGTTAGTAATATTTAAATCTATAACACGACAAGTTATATACCATTACTTATTCATTCGCACCAATGGTAACTATCACATAAACAAAATCATTTCAGGTAGACTTCAGTAAAGTAAAAGCTAGTGGTAGAAATGGAAGAATATTAAAGGAGGATATTTTGGGGTATCTCAACATTTCAGCGGATGTATCAAACGAAATACCAGATCCAACGACAATACAAGCTGTTTCTATACCGGTGACTCAAGCCAGAGTTACAACTGAAATTCTACTAGAAGATAGAGTAGTGCCGATTACAGGCTTTGTTAAAGCTATGGTGAAAACCATGACTGAGGCGATGGTAAAGTATTAAGAATTATGTAATATAATAATAATTTTGATTTAAAAGTCGCAAACCAGATATTACTACTACTACGTGTACTAAACACTTCTCGTAATATGCGTAAAACAGGAAACACATTGCAACTGTTGCTATTTTGATTTCACAGAAAATCCCCCATTTCGTCTTTAGCGATGAATACGACGTCACAAAACTAGTAGAGTCAAGAGAGGTTTTGAAAAACATGGCTCAAGAAAGAGGTGTCAAGCTAACCTACATGCCAATCATTATCAAAGCTACCTCCCTCAGTTTGGCTGCATATCCAATAATAAATAGTAGTCTTGATAGCAGTTGTGAAAATATTATTTACAAAGCAAGTCACAATATCGGTGTTGCTATGGACACGCCTAATGGATTAGTTGTACCCGTAATCAAGGTAAAAATCACAAACTATGCAAATCCACTTATGCCAAAGCAAATATTACTGTTGGCGTTGGTGGCTATTCGCTTAAGAAGTACCTACTTTTCTCGTATAATTGAGCACATAATAAATGTGTCTTGGTTTTCAGAACGTGCAAAGCAAAAGTATTCTTCAAATAGCTCGCGAACTGAACAATCTTCAAGAGAAAGGTGCAAAGGGTCAACTCGGGCTTAGTGAACTTACTGGAGGCACATTTACAATTTCTAATATTGGCATTGTAAGTTTTTGAAATACATCATCAGCCAATAAAAATATGGCGACACTAACAAAGTGATCAATGTTAAAACAAAGATAAAATAGCTCTCGAGATATTAAACTTTACATCCGCTGTAACGTTAAACACTCATCAAAAATATGGTTATATAACGTACCTAGTTCATTAGACTTATAAAAGGATAAAGTGAAAAACAACCAATTGTGGGGCGAAAATAGGTGAAATTGAACATTAAAGGCCTATCCGCATATGTCACTGCCGACACGAGATGATCAGCGCCGTGAACGTCCTGTTTTTATAAAAAACATGGATTTATAATTATATATATTTTTAGGATAGACCTAAAACTACAACAAATATTAAGTTCTGCAAATGAACCGCTATACGGCCGTAGCTGTACCTTTAATAGTTAGCTGTACCGGTTATACCTAAAAAGAAGTTTGAAAAAAAACAAATATACGCGATTTAAATCCGGAAAATAGTTTCATTTCCTAGGTGCAACAATCGCGAAAACCTAAGAACTCGATATAAAAAGAAGTGATCGGAATCAGTAGAAAGACCATCAAGAAGTATTTTCCCCTTCAAATTGCGACTCGCAAATTCTGATTGATTCCACGCGGTATTTCTTTTCACAATTTTGACTGCTCTTTGGAAATCGGCGGTATATACAAATTTGGCAGCGACTAGGCATCTAGTATACTTGCCGATCTCGATGAATTTTTAAAAGCCTTGAGCATTCCGTCTCTACCTAGGCTAGGCTTTGTCATTCTTGAAAGCTTTCGGGCTCTAGCTCTGCCAAGGCTTACCTCTCATTACACAACCACAGGAGAAATCACTATAAATCGTATTGCGAATTATAAATTGATCAGTACGGCATATATTTGAAAGTTAAAATTAATTGTGCACCTACAGTCATGTTTTTTAAATACAGGTCGGAGGCACATACACTAAGCCAGTCATCTTCCCACCGCAAGTTTCAATTGGAGCCCTCGGTAAAATTCAAGTGAGTCATTTGCATATACATTTGCATGTACCTTTAGTACCTACATTAAAAAAGCGTGGATACTTCATTTAACTAGAACGGTCATATAATCAGTTCATGTATTGTATAATGTATGCAAAATTCATACAATTCTGATTGCATAATTATGATTGTAAAATTTCAGATGCTACCAAGATTCGATATAGCAGGCAACGTAGTAAAACGGCACATTCTCACAGTGAGCTGGAGCGCGGATCACAGAGTTATAGATGGCGTCACCATGGCACGTTTCTCTAACCAACTAAAGGCATATCTAGAAAACCCGTATACGCTCCTCTTAGATATTTAAATTATTTACTAAATACACAACATAAAAAAGGTTGATGAACCGTGTTCAACCCGTTTATGCAGTGTAGTCTGAGCAATTCAAGAAGAGAATCGTAGAAAGGCCGAATTTACGAAGCTCAAGATAAGCAAATGTACTCGATTTATATTTTTGTAGTAAAATTACAATACATCTAACTCTAAACGTTTTATTTATAAAACGAGCAGGAACAGTAATTATTTTAACATTGATTCGTCATTTTACAAAATTTCCCATGTTGATTTTTCATACATATGGCATAATGCTAAGATATTTTCATCTACCTTTAATTTTACATTCAATAAAATCGTAGTTTCACAAAGTCATTACTTCCATATGATATTTTGGAAAACTACATAGATGATTTTTTTAGTATTCCCGATAGTCGCTTACACGATATTTTGAATCACTAGCGACATTGTTGAAGAGATCGGTAGATTAATTCAAGACCATGTAGACCAACATCAAAGATTTAGTCTATCTGGATTATTAAAAATAAATGTTTCTACGTATTTACGTTCCTCGTTGTTGATTTAGGGGGTACGCCGTTCTGTTAGACCATTTATTCGATCCAACTCATTTTTAATACTAGTTCGTCTTCATCACGTAATTTAACTTAAAGTAAGAAATTCTCCGGAATATTACATGGCCTTAAGACCCGTTAAAACAAGAAATAAAGCAGTGTCTCCAATAGGTTCCTACATAATTTTGACATATTACTACACTTCCGGACACATAATTCGAGCCACCACGCATTTTCAGTATTAAATGCCCTAAGCTTAAACAATGTTTGATTGATCAAAAACTATTATACAATTTTGAAACTAGTATACTAAACGTCTTCTCCATAAGTCCTTGTTGGGAATTTGGATTTGCAAAACCGGTGGAAAACTTTTCCTTCGATAAGAACACTATTTTTGTATTCTAGCCCTTTACAACAAAAATGCGAGGTGGCTCGAATAATGTGTCCGGGAATATAAAACGCCGTTGAATTGGTGCAAAAAAATACTTTTAGACATGAATACGAGCCAGTCATGGAAATGCCTATAGCTAGATTCAGATAGGTTATTGGTTAAATTCTATTTCCCGATAAAGTTTTAAATGTAAAGTGAAGAATGGACGTATAAACGTAGCGACGTTTACTTTCTTCGTAACACTTCAAACCTAGTGACTTTGAAATAGGCGATCGTCCACTCTGGAATGCTGTGCGGCGTATACTCACGATGAAACCTTGCGAATATTTCCGTAAATATTAAGGAGTCTAAACTGTTTATTGGCGCCCATTTCAAGGCTAAGAATGCCATATCAACATCACAAAATTTCTTATCTGGAAAGATAATACAGAGATGATAAGTCTCATCTTAGGTATTAAGCAATCGTATTATAAAAGTATGGTAAGGTATAACTAGGGATGTGCAATATGATATGTTGAAGTAGCGTGCAATCTGCACTTTAAAAAAGTTCAAATTTAATGATAAAAAATAAACCATACATACACACATACATATAATCACGCCTATCTCCCACCGGGGTAGGCAGAGACTATGGACTCCCACTTGCTACGCTCCTGACAAACTTCCTTCGCCTCCTCAACTGGGAGTAGAGGAGGCGAAGGAAGTCAATCTCTTCATACATGCCCGTTTATTTTTGGTACTTTTAACCCGGCCTTTTTAAGGACATCCTCAATCTGATTGAGATATGTTCGCCGAGGTCTACCTCTCCCCACGCTTCCATCCACATTCGCTCTATAAATTTGTGCCGTCAATCGACCAACATGCATTCTTTCTACATGACCAAACCATCGAAACATCGCTCTCTCTATCCTTGTCACTACATCATCTTTCATACCACAACGCTCTCTTACCTCACTATTTGGCATTGTATCTTTAAGACTAATACCGCACATATTGCGCAAAGCTCTCATTTCTACAACATTCACCCTACTTTCATGTTGTTTCTGCCACACCCAACACTCACTATTAATTTAATGGCTGATTTACACCAATCTCTTGGTACTGTGCCCTTCCTCCAGCTTATATTAAAAAAACGATGCAGCATACTGACCACTAAGCCTCCTCCAGCCTTCAGCATCTCTACCGACACTCTATCATAACCTGCTGACTTTCCCGCTGTCATGCCTTTCAGTGCTTTCAAAATCTCATTTTCATTTATTTCACTTTCGTCCTCACTATCATCACTCTCACCTTTCATGCTCATCACAATGATTTCTTCATCATTTTCAAATAAACTTTCAAAATATTCTCTCCATCTGTCAAGTATACATTTCTCTACCTTTATAATGTTTCAATTCTTATCTCTAATTATATTGAACTGTAAGTCACTTAACTTTCCTCTAGCTGCCCTTATGGACTTCCAAAATCACTTTACGTTAGCCTGAAAGTCTTCAATAATCTTCTATACAGTTCGTTCCTTTGTTCAGACTTCTTTTGATCTACTAGTTCTTTTACTCTCTTTTTATATTCCTCTCGTAATTCCCTAGTACCGTTTATTCCATACACTCTTTGGTTACCTTTAGCACATAACCAATCTAACCACGTTTTCTTCTTCTCATTTACAGCCTTTCTTACCTCACAATCAAACTATGTATTCTTGTTTTGACACCTTTTCTTCCTCTTAGATACACCACACACCTCGATCGCCACATTCGTCACAGTTTCTTTTATCAAATTCCACAACTCTTCAATTTCATTCCCACTACCACGACTCACCTCCGACTTATCGAATCTATCTCTTAACTTATTCTTATATTCATCATTTACTCTTTCTTCTTGAAGTCTTTCCACCTTTATTTTTTCTATAGCTGTTATAGCCTGCTTCACGCGGTGTCGCCAACATTTAAAAAGACCTCTTAACCGGCTTACTACCAAGAAGTGGTCTGTGTCTACAGCACCACCACAGTATGCTCGTGTGTCTATAACTTTATTTTTGATCCTATCATCCACAATTACAGAATCAATCATACTTACAGCATTTTCCCTCTGACAAGTATACGTGTAGATCTTTTTGTGACAAAACATTGTGTTTGTCACGCAAAGCTTCCACTCCAAACATATCTCTAAAACACATACGCCATTTTCATTCACCCTACTATCACCAAAACTACCTAGAACGCTTTCATATCCATCACGTTTAACTCCAACCCATCCATGAAAGTCACCTAACATAATAACTCTTTTATTCTGCTTCACCTTCAGTAAAACGTCTCTCACGCTATCCCAAAACTCCTCATTTTCACTTTGGACCCTGGCATCCCCTCAATCCCATGTCTGGGCATAAACCCTTATCACAAAAAGTCGAGTCAATCCAATTTAGTCGCATCCAGAGAAGTGTTGAATTTACAAATTCATACTCGTTCTTACATTCCTCCATTCTAGCGGACAGAACCACGCCTACACCTTGACAGCCTTTACTTGTTGTTGACACCCCTGATCAGTACGCCGTATATGTGCGGTGCTTGGTGGTTCCGTATCCCTTTCGTTTCGTTTGACTTACACACAACACATCTATGTATCATCCATCATCTGACATACTTCATCAATTTTACTATCCATCCCTCCTCTCACATTCAGCGTAGCAAAGTGGCTTTCCTCAGCCCGCTTTTCGCCCTTTCGTGAGACATGGCGTGATGGGGTCGTCGCCGTCATTCACATTTTTATTAATTTTTTAAAATCATTGCTATCCCACGAACAGCAAGGGAAAACTGAAGTACACCCTATTAGAGCCCCGCATACCAGGACAAGGCTACTAGCACTCTGAGTGCGCCAAACCCCAGGGCAAAACGGCGCGCTTACGACAAGACTTGCCTCTGGCCACGCATCCATCGGCACGGCCAACCTTAGATTGACGGGCAGAGGATAAAGGAAAGTGAATAAGTGAAGGGAATGCATGGAAAGATCTGTGTAGGAATGTGGTTATAGGAGGACACTGTTGTCACGGAAGATGGGGAATGTGACAATCGTAGCTCGGGGCGCCGAGTTTACCCGTATGTTCACTATTCAACTACCGGACAAGTAATTGGTGAATACGGGATAAAAATATGACGGGATAAATATAAACCAATTTATACAAAAAGGTCTCCTCCACTATTTCCTTATCAAAGGACATGATAATGATACATTATGTGACTATTGCATTACAGTTAACTTAAATTGAAAATCATACATTTAAGATTAATTGCCATTTTTCAATGTCTGAGATAGAAAATAGAATCGTAGCATATAACCTTAATAGGTAGTATGTTACGATTCGCATTTTTAACCTACTTCAAAAAAGGTGGAGGGTCTCAATTCGACTGTATTTTTTGTAAATATGCTACGCGATAACTAAATTTTGAAATTATAGACACGTGGGACTTGTCAACTTATGTCTCAGGGTGACGGGCGCAGTATCGGTGCCCATCAGATCTTTGCGATTTAAAGCTCTGAGTGGCACTACAAATGTTATGGACAAGCGTATAGCTTACCATCAGGCGCACGACTTGATCGTCCCGTCACTTGATATTATAAAAAAAATTGAGAACCGATTTTGAGAATTCTTTTTTGTTGTGAAGAGAGTACCTCATTGCTTCCATTTCAATTTGAAAAAAGTTCCCCTCTAAGGGTGGCAAACTAGAGAATGAATCCGGTTTCGCGCACATTCCGGTAACCGATTTCAATAAAATTTGTCAAATAGATGTGTAATTCCACGAACTTTCGAGGTAAGTTATATATAATTACCTTTTATAAGATGCGTGTGATATAAACAAACCTCTAGGTTATGTGTTCTAACACATTATTTACGATATAACAGTCCATACAAATAATATAAATGTGAAAGTAAACTCTGTGTTGTGTTTTCATGCCTAAACCGCTAAACCAATATTGACGAATTTTGGTATAGATATAGGAGAAGGACATAGGCTACTTTTTGTCATAAAAATAAATCTTAAAAGGGGTGAAATAAGGAACGAAAATTTGTAAAGAGAAAATATTTATAACAAACCAGAAATATTTACCAGCTATCCTTATGAAGTAAACTTTCCTCGGTGAACATATCTGGATGTCGTCACTTTGTAAAGCCAATAAAGAGCGTTGTTTTTCACCCCAGTTGCGATCTAACTCGCGTATCAAACTCTGCCGTGCAGCCTTTGTCAACAACCCATTGAGTTGAGCAAATTCACCTTTACTTATCACTTGAGTCACTTTAGATATTGCCTGTTTTTCAAAGCAATTTCATATGTAACATAAATAATGAAATCAATTGTATCGACTCTACATTGCAACAAAATTAACCCATATAAACCCGTTATAATGCTGTCCTAGGGTAAAACAAACGTCAAATGGAAAAACCAGGGTTTCTTTGTTTGATAAGTAAAATCTTATGAAGGAGTTTTCAGTAGGTACGTAGAGTGTGTACTCTA